GAAACGTTAGGAAGAACAACCTTCAGAACACGGCCAAAGAGCCTGAAAAACCCACAACAACCATTACTGTACTTATATTTGCTTAAACGCTACGGACTGTCCCCACCAGAGCAGATCCCACTGAATAAATTGCTGAATGGTGAGTCAACATTTATATGAATCCCTTGGATTCAATAAATCTGCTCTAATTAGGACTAACAACTATTACAGTCATGTTTACTTACTTATTTTTACTTGTTTTACTTATAACAACCCCCCTTTCTGAAAAAAGGAAAAAAAGTGCACTAGCTGGCTAAAAATAAAAAACTTGCATTTAAAACAAAATAAGGCAGATCAGGAAAACTTGGTCAAATGCATTCTTAAAAACACAGCTGAAAATGCCACCAACTGCAGGCTAGTTGTCAACAGATATTTCTGCTGAGGCATGTAAAGGCCTGGCTCCATAAAAATGTCTTTTGACCACTGGAAGGTAAGAATAGAAACCAGCTTTGCATCGCTTGACAGAGCGTTTCCGAAGTGGGAACAGCTGTTTATTTATTTATTTATTTATTTATTTATTTATTTATTTATTTATTTAGTTAGTTAGTTAGTTAGTTAGTTAGTTAGTTAGTTAATTTATATGCCGCCCACTCTACCCAGAGGTCTCTGGGCGGCTGGGTCCTTTAAAAAGGACCCAGTTTCGGGTCCCCATCAGACATTCTTCCATAGCAGTATGATCAACACCAGAACCTCTCGTGAAGATGTTAAAACGTGGGCAGGCTGGCACCGAACGAAGCAAGTGTTTCTTTTCCAACAGCCAAGTTCCTGACCCTGTAGGGTGAGTGTTGTCTGTTCTTTGCCAGAGCAGGTTTGTGTGCAAAGAGCCACAAGCGCCATCCTCAGGTCTGCTTTGTAGGCAGAGCTCCACCCTCCCTTCCATCACCTCCCGGTGGAAGTCTCACCTGTTGGTGGCGCCTATGATGAACACAGTCTTCTTGTTGGTCATGCCGTCCATTTCCGTGAGGATCTGGTTGATGACACGGTCCGCGGCACCCCCTCCATCCCCTGCTCCGCCACCCCGGGCCTTGGCAATGGAGTCCAGCTCATCAAAAAAGAGGATGCAGGGAGCCGCCTGCCGGGCCTGGGGAGCAGAAGATACCAACGTGAGCCGGGTTAGGGAGGAGGAAAGGGCAGGTGCCCCATCCTCAGAGTCCCCACAGCTTTCTGAAGGAGCCCATCTCAGCCTTGGGTGCACCAGCTACTTCAGCCTTCTGAAGAGAAGGCGTGCATGTTGGCTGATGTGCCACCCCAGACCTAAAAGCAACGGAAGAGCTAGAGCAGGGATGGGAATTGTGCAGCCCACAGTATGGACTCCACCCACCCACCCCCGCATCCCTATCATCAGAAAACAACATTTCTTTGCCTAAAAAAGAATTGTGTCCCCCACCCCCACCCCCACTTGCTGGGGCACAAACGTCCATTTTAATGCTGTTTGGGAGCTTTCACTTTTTGAAAAGAGAGCCCGTGTGGTGCAGTGGGTAGAGGTGATGGACTAGGGACTCAGGGGGCCTGGGTCTGAATCCCCGCTCTGGCGTGGAAGCCTCCCGCAAGGGGAGGGGGGCAGTGGTAAAAACACTCTTCAATATCTCACACACCTGGAAATCCCTCTGAGAGTCAATATATACTGAATGCAACTGGGTGGCACATAACACAACATAGCCTTTTTTTAAAGATCAGAAATAGCTTCTTTAAAGAGCATCCAGTTTGGGGGGGGGGAAAGGGTGCAAATGTGTGACATCCCCCCCTCCCACCAGACCTTCTATAACTCCTTTCCCAAATTAGAGGATCAGTGAATTCAACTCAGTGAATTCCAAAAATCAGGTTCAATGATGGATGGTTAGCAGGCAGATCTTCAAGCTGCCGGCAAAAGAAGGATTTTAGGGAAATTAAAAGATTTACTGTTCCCCATGGGTGGCTGATAGGCAAATCCTTACTAAACAGAACATTTCAGGATTGGCTTTCCTTAACAGAAAAAAAAAACTTCAGTCTGTACTGTAACTTCCTTCAAGCCTCAAAGAGACTCTGAGCTCTTTATAGTCTCCTTCATTTTTCAAGGCTTTTTTTTAAAAAAAGGGCTACTGGCAAGTAGCCAGATCCTCCCATTTCTTCCTGCTCTCCTCTTCCCCCTCCTCTGCCTCTAGCCAAGTGCTCACCTTGTCAAAGACATCCCGGACGTTGGCCTCACTCTCTCCAAACCACATGGTGAGCAGTTCGGGGCCCTTGATGGAGACAAAGTTGGCCTGGCATTCATTAGCGATGGCCTTGGCCAGCAGGGTCTTGCCACAGCCGGGGGGTCCATAGAAGAGCACCCCTCGGGATGGCGTCATTCCAAACTTCAGGAACTTGTCAGGATACTCCACAGGGAACTGATGAAGGGAAGAGAGCACAGGTCGATTAAGGCCCTGATATGGTGGCCTTTTATTAACTAGATGGTTCGTCAATCCTTCTCTTTGACATTCCCCCATTAGGGCTTTTCAACTCTTCTCTGGCCTCTAGGGGCCCTATCAATGTAAAAGAATTTTAACCCCCCCCCCCCGCAGAATGTGTGCACAGCCCTCCACTTCTCTTGGGGGTTGGCTTTTTTTTGCCTTTGTTCCAGCCTTCCTGGTGTTCCATCTCCGCTCAGCTGCACTGCAAAGCAGGAGACTTGATCTTGCTCAGGTAAGGGCTAGGAACCCACAGCCCTTCAGAATGTTTTTGAGCTACAACTCCAATCATCCCCAATGACTGACTGTGAGTGATGGGAAATGGAATCCAGTTGCTCTCTCTCTCTCTCTCTGTGTGTGAGTGATGGGGAAATGGGATCCAGTTGCCGTGTGTGTGTGTGTGCGCGCGCACACAGCTTCCACACCCTTATAGCAGAGGATACCACCAAATCCACCAAATGCATCTCTCTGCTTTGGGTATATTGGCCAGAACAATGGGATCCAGTTGCCATGTGTGTGTGTGTGCGCGCGCACATACAGCTTCCACATCCTTATAGCAGAGGATACCACCAAATGCATCTCTCTCTCTGCTTTGGGTATATTGGCCAGAACCCTATGACTGCTGGACAAAGACAACAACAAACAGTGTAAATCTCAGAGAGTTGATGTTTGCATTCCCTGCCATGTACCAGTTGTGAGACTTGGCACACAGCAAGGAATACAAGAATGGACGTTAACTAGCAGCAGTTTGCCACTAATATTTACACCATTTGAGCTGCTGTCAGCCTACATATGTAATGGAGTAACTGGAGGTCACTCATGCATAGAGTCATCCTAAATCAGAAGCAACTTGGCAGAACATAACTACACATATGTAATAGGATTTGGGCCAACCAGATCCAGCTTCAAAAGCCCCTTTCTACATGTTAGGCATGGTGGCTGTGTGTATGTCCATAAGTGGAATTCACCTGCATTTCGTATTTTGGGAAGCTATATAACCTGACAAATATGGTTGCTGTTGCACCTGCTCAACCTTTTGGACTCCTCTGAGTCCCAGTTCTTTTTCTCATTGTGGACTGATCCATCAGAAGGGGGAGGGAGTGTCACTCTTCCTGAGACTGTGGTTAAGGTCTCACATGGAGACGATCTGCTGATGATCACTGTTCTCCACATGCGCACCCCCTTGGCTACCTTTGCATTAACTTGCTTCACAGTGTAGGTTCAGCAAGCATTATCTCAAATGGGTCGCCTTACTGCCTGCCTTTCTCTTCGGACAAAGCTTCAATGGAGAACAATTTTAATTGCTTATTTTGTATGCTGTGTGCCGTCCAGAGTAGTTGAACGACTAGATGGGCGGGATAGAAATTCAACAAACAAACAAACAAACAAACAAACAAACGTGCATAACAGTAGCAACATGATGTGTCCCTTGGTGTGATGCTGGCTGTCGTATTCCAAGAAATAGCAGAGTTGGGAAAGATACTTCTTTCACCATTACCCGGGAACTCTTAAGTGTTTAAATAATAATAATTTTAAAAAAACCCTGACTTTTCCAAGTTCTGGTTAAGAGGCAGGTTTAGAATCAGAGAAACTGGAAGGGTTCTGAGGTCATCTACTCCAACCAACTGAGTAATGCAATTGCAACATCCCTGGCAAGTGGGTGATGTATCTCTGCTTAAACTGCTTTCTTGTCTTCTTTTTTTTCTCTTTTGCTTTGTAAGCTTGTCTGTGCACTTGCCTGCATCTCTGTGATTTCCATTTCTTGCAACACGTATAAATTGCAAGTAACCGCTTTGAACTTCTATTAATGCAGACAGCAACTGCTATAATGGTGGCAAAAGCAAAGCATTACCTCTCTTCCCCACGTGCAGTTAAAACTTTTTCCTGGTGCAATTCAAGGCCTTGGGCTTTGTGTATAAAGCCCAGCATAATGTGAAACCCAGTTACTTCGAAGACAGCCTTTGCCCTGCACCTTCAGTGGATTTAACTCCATAGGGGTGCTGTGAGATATAGATGTTAGAGAAAAAGCACCCCATCTCATTGAAACCTGATGCTATCTCTGGCCCATTCAGAGGCCCTGAATAATTGAGGGGGATGAAGTACTTTCCCGTAGAACTTCCTCACAGAATCATGAAGTTGGAAGGGGCCTATAAGGCCATCGAGTCCAACCCCGTGCTCCGTGCAGGGAAAAGTCAAACCTAGGTGCTTAGCATGTTGATCCTCAATGCTACACCCCCAGGCAGAATCCAGAGATGCAGGTGTCTGTGTTGATCCACGTATGGGTCAGAGTGGTTTGTGGATAAAGGTGTGTGAGAGAGGACTCACCACCAAACTGGGGGAAATGTTTCCCCCCCCCCTTCCAGCCACAAACTAACTGCATGTGTGGGGGCGGCAAGTACACAGACACCAGCACAGATTGCCCAGGAGTCTCTTTTTTCAGCTCAAAAGAGAAATTTTTTGCCCTCTGCTAATATGATTACAGCTAAGCTCAGAGGTAGCAGAGAGAGCTTTTGGTGTGTGGGTGTGGGTGTGCGCGCACGTGTGTGCGTGTGTGTTTTTAGGGGGAGGCAGATGATCTCACTGTCCCTGCAAATCCCTAATGCCCATGACTCCTGTGCCTCCCAACTATTACCAAACTGTCCAGAGGCCTTTGCACAAGTACCAGAATGAAACCGTGAATTCTGCTGCTGCTTTTGCTACTCCTTCTGCAGCTACTAGTTGTGGAACAGTCTGAAATCCCTTCCCTGTAGTTCTACTCACCTGAACCAGCTCCTGGAGCTCCCGTTTGACTTCCTGCAGACCCCCGATATCATCCCAGCAGACTTGGGGCACCTCCACGACCGTCTCACGCAGGGCTGAAGGGTTGCTTTGGCCAAGGGCCCACTGCAAAGCAGGAGAAAGAGCAGGGCAGCAAAGCGTGATTGCCAGGGCAGTAGGCACAAAGCACTGAAAACGGAGCGTCTCTGACAGAGGCTAAGCATTCCCTTGGGCTCCATTTCTCCATTCATTGCCCACAAGGAAAACCAGAACAGCTCAGCCACACTAGGAGCGACATGGTGCCAATTCCAGGCAATTTGCTGCTCTGGAGACAGCACTGGAGGAAACGGCTTTCAGTTCATGGGGGAAAAGACACCGGGGCCTGGAGATGTCTTAACACCTGCACTGGGAAGGATGTGATAACCGGGTTGCAAGGAAGCTCTCAGGATTAAATCATGCTGATCACCAGAAAGACTGGTGGGAGTTGACTTCTCTTTTGGGAACACGTATGCTTTTTTTCAGTTGATCTCAGGTACACGTAGGGAGTGACTGCCCCAACATCTGTCTCCCTGTTTGATCCTCTGTGGGGGTGGGATGGTTTGCTCCTTTTGCTGGCAGTCAGATGATGTAAACGTCAGCGCAAACCAGCCCATCTCCACTGCATTTCTACCCCCACCTTTCTGGCTCCCTGTCTTTCTGGCTACTCTTTTAAAGCTGCAGATAGGATCACTCCATTCTGATTAATTTCCAACATGTGTGATCACTGGGATTCAACCAAAGCAGGTTTTGATGCTTTAAATTTTCCATCTAGTTTCAATTTCCCAATTTAGTTAAGCTTAGCCACTTAATGATATTGGGAAATTAAAAACTTCCTCGACTTCCCTGTGAAGGGGCATAAGGAGGAAGCAACTTTTTAAAAAAGCATAAATGCACTGTACCTTTTAGAACTATTTAGTTGAAAGCTTCCTTCCAGAAGGAGATAAGAGGGGGCAAGGAAGGTTTTGGCTTGTTTCTTTTCTTAAGGGAGGCAGGCACAATAGGGTCGCTTGAGGTGCATATGGTGCATGGATGCAAGGATCACACCAAATGGCATACCAGACCTCTATACAACCCTAAGTGACCCTATGCAGCCTGCTCCATCCTGCACCAATTGAGCCATCTAGCCAAGCTCTAATATAACAACAGATTGCTTGATTAGGCCACAGCTAGAATTTACAGGTGAAATAAACAGATTCATGTGCATACCTGTTAATGTTCATTTAAGTGAGAAGGAAACTGAGAAATGAAGTAACAGTCAGGAAACAAATGAAGACCTAATGCACGAGACCAAAGTAATGGGAGACCATCACCTATTTGGAACTCATTCAAAACTAGAACATTATGGGTCAGTGCTAAGGATATTTTGGACTACATCTCCCACAAGCCTTTATCATTGGTTACGGGCAACTGGGCTTCAAGGCACTGAAAATGGAATTACTTAAATGGTAAATGTTCTTTTCACTCCTGCCTGGTTCAGAGCAGACACTGTTTGGAGCTGTTTAGAAATTGGAAAGATGAGGAAGGCCAGTGAAGTTCTAGAACAGTTCAAGGAAGAAGAATTCATTCTAAGCTATGAATTCTTCATATTTACAGAACTCTGTTTGTAAACATGAAAAAAGAAAGGCAATAACAATGGATGAACACTTCTGTGCATAGGCCTCTGCAGAGGCTGGCCTACCTGGAAGTCATCCATGGTGACAGCCATGGAGTTGAGGATGTCAGCGTCAATTGTGTCATCCTCCAGATCGATGACACTCATCTTCTTGCGGATGGCCTGGAGCGCTGCCTCTGAACACAATGCTGCCAGATCAGCGCCCACGTGCCCGTGCGTCTCGTTGGCCACCTGCAACCACAGACCACCTGTGTCAGAGGGGCATTTTGGTGACAAGTGTGGAGAATAATCCCCTCAGAATTTCTTTTAGTAAAGGCATCAAGTCCCTGCCGCAGCTTCTATAGATAGTATTTCTGCGCCTGTCTTAAGTGAGTCATTTGACACTACTGGAGGCATAACCAACAGAAATGTGTTGATTATGCCTCCAATTTAGAGAACCCTGTAACGCTGCCATAACCTCCCACCACCTGGTTTCTCCCAAACTCCAACCCTCCTTGTCTCCTGTTGGCACAAGCAGTGAAGGAGCCATAACTTTGCATGTTCAAAAGTCCCAGATTCGAACTCTGGGATTTCCGAGGAGAGCTGGGGAAACAGCCTGTCTAAAAAACTGGAGTCCTGCTGTCAGCCAGTGTGGATAATACCAGACTGGAAGGATCAATAGTCTGATATAGTATAAGCCTGTTCCTTGCATTTCTATACAAAAAAACCCCCTCTAACTTTACAGGGTATCCTGTCGAACTGTCTGTCAATCTCCTTTTCACGCCCAGCTGCTGAACAAGGACGTGTGCCCTGAAGGCCGTCTTGGTTCCCTGAACAACACCTCCACCCCAACATCCATTGTTCCTGAGGCTTCTCTGTTTTCTTTCATGTGCAACATACCTTTTCAAATTGGGAACTGCTGTTAACCCAAGCGTTCTGTGCTGCTATTCAACATATCTCTTGAATTTGAAACTCTTCATTAATTTGGGAGATAATATTCTTGGAAGGCCATGCCCAAAACAATTTCAAAGTGATACTTGAGCTGTGATAGCTCCTTATGACATACACATACAACCTGTACACCTCTGATTATCCCATGGATCCATTCTTTCTCCCTGCAGATCTCCACTCCCTGGCTCTCACCCTCTCTAGGTCCACATCATCAGCCAGTTTCATGTTCTTGGTATGAATCTGCAAGATTTCCAGCCTTCCCACTGAATCTGGGATCCCAATGTCAATTTCTCGGTCAAAGCGCCCTGAAGAAGAGAGATGAGCTCTAACTAAGTCCATATCACACTCCTATTCAATGAACAGAAAATCTGTGAACTTATGGCAAAGGATGAAATGAATCAGGGCATGCAAGGAGGGAGCCAGGAAGGCTATGGCCTAAAACACGGACAGGCAGCCGCCCGAGGTCCAGGGACCACACAAGCCCATGCACGGATCTTCAAAGTCTGCACCTGTTCCCACAACATCCACCCTCCCAATTTTTAATGGGTATTGGTGTAGCATTCTCTCCTTTTTTAATAGATAAAGCCCCCTTGCACACTCTAGCAGCCCGTCCAAAAAAAGAGAAACTTTTAAAAACTGGTGGCATGGGATCTCCACAGATTCTTTTAAGGTATGTCAAAATACAACACATTTGCTCCCCACATCCCACAGAGGGCAGAAGGGGGGGCATTGTTTGCTTCCGAATGAACGGAAGGCCCACCCACGTCCCACCCAGGAGAATGCCTGGAGCAGCAGGGGGGAAAAGAGCGCAGTGGGTCTCCTACCAAAGCGGCGCAAGGCAGGGTCAATACTGTTAGGTCGATTGGTAGCTGCCATGACTACCACGTGGGAGCGCTGTTTGAGTCCGTCCATGAGGGTGAGCAGCTGGGAGACGATACGGCGTTCTACTTCCCCGTGGGTCTGAAACAGAAGAGCAAAAAAAAGGAGGTAAAAGACACAGGTGCAGGCGTGGCTGCCCTTCTGGCACTCCTAGAGAAGGCCACATATAGAATCTAGGGCAGTGGGCACCAAACCTTTGAGCACAGCACCATCTAGCGGCCAATAAGCACGAGCAGGTATTTGAGGGTAAGAGTGTACAGCGAGAAGGTAAGCGGAGCAGCAGCAGAAGAGAAAGGGGATGTACTCTGGGCAGACTGTGTCTTTGTCCCTGCACCTGGGTTGGGCAATGTAGCTACTGGGATGTTCTTAGTCTAGTGCTCAGAGAGTCGGACAAGGGCTGGAAACACCCGGTTCAAGTCCTCTTTCTGCCTTGACCTTGGATCGGTGACCATCTCTCAACAAAACCTACCTTGCAGGCTTACTATGAGGATAAAATAGTGTGGGAAAGAGCAATGCACATTGCCTGGGGCTTCTGAGAAGAGAAAAATAGATACAGATGTCATAAATAAATAAACACAGGGAGATGAAAGACACGGGACTTTTGGCAGCACCTCTGGCTGGATAAGTCAGTGGAACACCAGAGGCCAGGCGAGCCTCCTGGGAGAAAATCCCGGCCTGTGTGGCCTTGGGCAAGCTGAACAGGTCCAGGGTGCCCCCAGAGGAAGGGAATGGCAAACCACCTCTGAGTTCTCTCTACCTGGAAAACCCTGAAAAGGGTCACCGTAAGTCAGAATTATTAATCTTTATTTTTCTCCACTGACAGTATAATGCTAGCAAAGGTAACTTGCTAAACTCTGCAGAGTCTCCGTACTGCTCATCTAAAGATGGATCTGCCAGGACTATCCCTCTACCTCTTGCTCTAGCTGGTATCAGGCACAGGAGGTGCCTACTCCTGCTGTGGGAGGCTGGTACAAAACCTTCGTTTTATTCCACCCTCCTCAGTGTTATAGCAGAGCCCAGGCTTGCAAGGTAGAAGTATTAGTTTTTTTGTGGTGAGAAGACAGGTTAACAGGGGCCCTCTTCTGGCTTCACGGTTTCCTCTGAATGGCAGCCCTCACAGCAGGCGAGCAGGGTGAGGGAACAGATTTGATTTCCCCAGAGTAAGGCAGGGAGGGAAACCTCTCCAGGGGTGGGAGGTGATGAATGACATCCTCCTCCCTACCATCCTGGAGGGTAGACCCCACAAGGGCAACCCTGTTGGTGTTGACCTCCAGCACCCCCCTGGGAAGAGCACCTCCTCAGAGGTCCTCTCGCTGCTTACCTTCTCCCTCTTAGGAGCAATGGCATCCAGCTCATCAATGAAGATGATGGCTGGAGCATTCTTCTCCGCTTCTTCAAAAGCTTTGCGCAAGTTGCTTTCTGACTCCCCAGCCAGTTTGCTCATGATCTCTGGGCCTGTGGAAGAATAAGACAGCAATGGGTAAAGGCCTGAGATTTTTGGGCAACTGCCCCAATACTTCAGAGAAGCTAAGAGGACAGCGATAGAGAGTAACTGGCAAAACAAGGAATTGGTTTGGCAGGTGCCTATTTCTGAAACAGCCCACCATCTGTAATCTCCCCAGGGCAGGGACCTCTCTTCCTGTTATGTCTGTCTGTGGGAAGGTCTGGAACAGGATGTTCAGGATGGAGGACTCGATTTTCCTAAGGACTCCCTCCAAATCATGCTCACCATTGATCAGGAAGAAAAAGGCTCCTGTTTCATTGGCAACCGCACGGGCCACCAGTGTTTTCCCAGTGCCGGGTGGGCCATAAAGTAGAATCCCTCGTGGAGGCTGAGGATGAGAGGAAGTAGAAGAGTCACATCGAGGATGCTTGGGAAAAGGAATTGGCTCGCCTGGCAGAGAGAAGAAACCCTGGGCCACGGGGGGGGGGGAATGGAGCACAACGCAAGGGGACACCCCAGGAGAGAAGGTCTCTGCTGCCGTTTCAGCAGAATCACCTCCAAGGACACTCTGGATTGGAAAGAAAGGCAGGGGAAATGCTGCCATTCGCCTGGTGCTGAAATGCTGCAGCACATGCTTGAAAGGAAAAACTGGGTTGACCGATACCCGGGAGGCCATGAGGACCTGGGCCTTCCCACATCCCCAGCTGTACCTTCACACCAATAGCTTTAAAGAGCGCTGGGTGTCTCAGCGGGAGCTCCACCATCTCCTTGATCTGTGCCAGCTGTTTACGGCAGCCCCCAATGTCATCGTAGCCAACATCGTTGAGGCTCTCCTCTTCGTCCTGAGAGGACAGAGATGGGATGCAAACAGAAAGTGCCCTGTGACAGGACTCAGTCTCTGCCCACCTGTCCAGCCTATTTTGACTTCCGCGCTCCCCCTCCCTTTCTCACCAACTGTCCTTAGATACCCATCCACAGGGAAGTTTTCAATGACAGACCCAACACACAAAATCCTATCCCTCTGCGCTGTCCAGACTGAAGGATGTTCCAGTGGCATTTAGGAGTAAGCGCCCAACCCAAACCCCACTACTGGCTGTGTCCCATCCCAGCCCTGACATGGATGTCTCAAGCCCCCCCCCACTCGCGCGCACACACACACACCTCCCGCTTGATGGGCTCGCCCTCGCAGTGGATAATGGTGTCGGGAGCCACGATGCAGTGGGGGCTCGGATCTACCTCGACAACCTTAAACTCCACAGCCCTCATTCCACCTCGCACAAGGAAAATGTCACCTGGGAAGAAAAGATTAATTGTGTCATCAAATTAATTTTTTCCTCATCACAGGTCAGTCCAGAGCCTGCAACATTATTCAAAACAATTAATGCATTTAAAAATATACATTGCAGGAGCCTTGCTGTTCCTCATTATTTTACAAGTAATGCATTAATAAGGTGCTATTTCCAGATTATTTTAAAATAATGACAATAATTTGATTAAAACCTTAAAAATAGGAAAATGGCCAAAAAGAGCTGCTTCCTTAGGACTTAAAAAAAATGCTCTAAGGATGTATGACTAACAAATAATGCTACATCCAAAAAATGTACATGTCAGTGTTAAAATATGAGAAAAGATAAACCGTTATGCTATTTTTATCCCCAAAAATAACGTGTTACACCAACATTGTTACTTGTAATGCATTGCTCCTGAGTCCTGGTACAGTCATGGTGCCCTACGTTAACGATGAGGCCATGGTAAGACATAGAAATGCAAATGGTACCCCCCACACTCAAGAAAAAAGGGACTGGAACACAGATCCTAGCTGGGCGGGCAGAATTCTCCTCCCTCCCATTTCATGCTCAGAATGAGAAACCACTTCTGGGTTTGGGAGAACTCTGGGCAAAGCATCCTTCACCATGTCAAGGGCTGACCCCAAATTGGAATTCTCCATATTATTGGTGTCTTCCTTTCTCCCGCTGGCTGGATAGCCCAGTGGTTAAGGTATCTGGCTGCAAAGCCAGAGCCTGGGAGTTCACTTTGTCAAATCTCTGTCTAGCCTAGTGGCTATCGCTACATCTGGTAACAATACAACTAACCACTCAATTAGTTAACTAGGTCTGGCAGGTGAGAGAGAGAGATGGAAATAGAGGCCTGGGGGTCCAGGTCTGCCCTATGGGCTGGGCTGGAGGCTCCTCGCTACTCATCTCAGTAGTCCTCACCTTTGTGCACAGGTCGGTAGGCCTCCAGAAAATAGGGTTTGAGGTAAACTTCAAAGAGGTTGCCGGTCAAGCCCGCGATAGTATCATCGATGGGGAGGACATGGATTCGCTTTCCATACTTCACATCTGGACAGGCTTGCACACTGTACAGAGAAAGGCTCAGCTGGCCACCAGAAGATAGCACAGTACACACGTGCGCACACACACACACATATATCCTAGGACACCCTGAATATCTTGGAAAAGCAATCAACGAGCAGCCCACACTGTCAGTTTAATACAGCGGCCCATAATACATTCTAGTGTGATCCCCAAACTTAATACCAAGTCACATCATGAAATCAGTATCTATACTGATCAACTTACGTAAAGCTAATTACAAATAATTAGAGCCTGTCTCCCACCCCCCCCGCTCTTCCAAGTCCCCATTTTAACCCCCCCCCCAATTTGGTAAGGCCTCCCTTCTCCACAACGGTCTTGCTGATGGTGGCACAAGTTACCCTCCCACCACCTGCTCCCAAAGCTTTGAGGCGGAGCGCATCCATGGCTCTCCATCAGCCCCCGACCCAGTTCAACGCGATGCCTTGAGCTTTCCTGCCACTGCCGCCATCCCCTTGGGACAGCCTCACCTGACCACATCTCCAAGACGCACACGGAGGTTGTTCCGGGTTACCCGGTTCATGCGAATCTTCTCACTGTGGCAGGAGTCATCTGTGAGCACGATGCACACCGTCTCCCGGCGTTTCTTTCCCTTCAGCAGCACGGTGTCCCCCCGGAACAAGTGCAGCTCTTCCATCTTGGCCTGTAGAAAACCAAGAAAAGAGCGGAAACAAGACAAGGCTCCTTTAGCAGAGATATATGCAAGCTAGACATCTTTGTCTATGACCGTGTTTTTGTGCCCATCTGTGTGAGAACAAACATAGGAATCTTTTGCATATCCATGATATATGGCAGTACCTTTTTTCCTGGAGAAAATCAAGACTTCAAGGTTACGCTTTTTTTATCTCTGATATCTGTGGGTTAATCTAAGATAGGTCTGTGAGTTCATATGTTATCTGTTTGGATCATTTTTGCATATACGGATTATACATAGGTATGTCTCAATTAGAGATGAGGGTATTTGTATACGAATACGAATATCCCCACACAGGTGGAAATAATGAAGGTCTGGCCCCATGGGGCCGGACTGTCCACTCACAATTTCACAGCTTCCTCTGGTTCCACAGAGGCTTCCTATCGCACTGTTGTCCGCAATCAATTACCCACTCCTGGCAGGAGGCGGGGTGACAAACCTCTCTGCTAGGTCAGAGAGTGGGCAACCCATTGCGGAGAAGAGTGCAATAGGAAGCCTTCGTGGAGCTGGCAGCAACGGCGAAATCGTGAGTGGCCAGTCCGGCCCCATGGGGCCAGGCCCTCATTACTTCCACCTGTGCGGGGATATTCGTATTCATATACGAATACCCCCATCTCTAGTCTCAATCTTGATGGGAATATTTAAGATTCCTTATGACATTCATATTCACAAGAATATCCCTATGACTATTTCCTATGACAGACTAAACATGAGGCTAAGTATCCCCATCTAGGAGGCTAGGTGTGAATACTTAGCCTCATGTATCGTCTGTCCTAAGAAACTCTATGTTGTCTCCATGTTGTTTTTTCCCTCAGTCCAGGATGCAACCAGCTTTCAAAAGCGCTAAAGCCCTTCTAACTAAACGCACTCTGTCCCTGGGAGGCAGGTGGGAGGGTTTTATTCCAGAGGTGGGCAACATGCAAGCCCAAGGGCCTCCAAGGGCCCAGTCGTGACCTCCAACATCTTTGTGCCCCAAATCCCCTACTCCAAGTTGTGTGTGTATGTGGGGCAGGGGAGTTGGGTGGCATCATTTTGTTTCAGGCTTTTCAAAGTTAATTTTTATATTAAAAATGGAATCATGGGAACAAGCGCAGCCCTGTAAGGTCCAGAAATGGCACATGAAACCCCCAAATCTCTGGAGGCTGCCCATCCAGTCCAAACCCAAATAGGTGTGTCTTCAAGGACTCTCAGGGCTGCAAAGTTGTCAGAGGTCCCAACCTCGTAGAGCACAGGTAGGCATCTGCCAGAAGTTTTGGACTGTAACTCCCACCAGTCCCGGAAAACATGGCCAAAGGCCAGAGATTTTGAGAATTGGCTGGAAGGCACAAAGCATAATCTTGGAGGGTGGCAGGTGGTCCAAGCCCTACCCCTGACTTGAGGTATCCTGGAACTGAAGGAAAAAGTAGAGTTGGGTTGTGTGTGGTATGAGTAACACGGGATTCACTTGACCTCAGTTTTCCCCTAATAACGCCCCCCCCCCATGAAGCCTAGGCAGGAGTAAGAATAAATATTCCTCTCCCCATTTGAACTACTCAGGTCTGGGTTCATGGCGTTCACTGGATAAGGACATACTGTATTGTTTATTTGTTACAGGATATAAGAAAATGGGCTGGCCGTTCCATTTGATGGTGAAACTTGGCGACAGGGGGATAATGTCGGTCCATTCTAGCAGTGGGTTCCTATGTACCTGAGTCAGGTTCACCACACTATTGTCTTCATTGGCAGATTCATCAACAATGAGGCGGTTGGGACGGTGCTTCTGGCGCAGGATAGCTGTGGAATAATCTTCTCCTTTGGAGCTGCAGCAAAGAACAGAAAAAGAGGTCCTTTGGACTCATGATCATGCAATTGCTGTGGAGGAGGAAAAGTTCAGAGGAGATAATATAGAGGGGATTTGGATTTCCCCCCATATAGACACCAGGAATAGGATGCCATCCTTTTATCTGTGGAGCAGTGATTGGGAGCTGCCAGCCTATGTGCCAGATATGGTCCCTTGTGTTCGTCAATGGGTCAGCATGTCCTTCGGCTCCTGTCTCCTATCAATGACTGGGCATGACATGATATTTATAGACATCTAACTTTTAAATAACCTCACCGAGAACCCTGCTGAACACTTCACAGGCACTTTGCAAGGTGCTGAACGAAACTGACCTGTGCATTCTGCAGACCTGGGCCCTTTTTTGTGCTTGGTGAAAAAAAAGAGAGCGAATTTCTAAGATTTATCTTTGGCCCTTCACTTCGGCCCCATTCTTTTTGCCACCGGGCTCCTGCTCCCTTGGCCCTACCCTTTTTTTGGAATGCATTCTCTCAGGCCTTGTCTCAAACCGGAACTCAAGTCCTAGGCAAAAAAATTGTTCTGTAACTATAATATAGAAAATAATACCTGGTTTTTAAGAGAAGCCCAAGCTTTGTGTGACTTGCCTTTTTTCTATCTTCATCATATATATATATTTTTTTAAAAAATAAAAACAGTGTTGTGGCACTTCAGAGTGGAATTGTGATTGATACTCAACAATGACGACGGGCCATCAAGTCAATTCTGACTTATGGCGACTCTGAAATGAAGGTATGAAGGCTGGGGAAATGAGTTATTTATCTAGAAAACTGGTGCTACATTGAGGAAAGTCATTAAGAAACAGTGAATGAGTCAAGAAAGAAACCAAAACAAAGCCCCTAAACATGTACTGTAGAGTAATCTGACACTGTTCTTTTAATTTTTTTACAGTGTTTCCCTAACCAAGATAGTGGGTGCTTCTAAACAGCAAAGTGATGCTCAAGGTTTTTCAGCAAAGACCTTTACCCTATATGGAGTGAAGAAACTAGTATACTTTACAACCATTGTTCCAATCTCCCCTGCAAGCAAAGCAATGAAGAAAGTGTTGCAACAAAGGCCTTTGCCTTGTATGGAGCAAGAAAAGCTTGATGTTCAAGTTGGATTCCAGAAAGGTAGAGGCGCTCATGATCATATTGGCAATACATGCTGCCCCCTGGATTGCATTGAAGAATTTCTGAAAAAGATCAGTCTATGCTTTATAGACTACAGTACAACAAAGCCATTGACTGTGCAGCTCATGTGAAGTTTTGGGTTGTTTTGAAAGACATGGGTGTGCCTCAGCACTTGATTGTCCTGATGCATAACCTACACTGTGGACAATAAACTACAGTATTGTTAGGACAAACTATGGGGAAACAGAGTGGGTTCCTATAGGTAAAGGAATGGATTTCATGTCCCTATCTGTTCAACCTGTATGTAGAACACATGATGTGGAAAACTGGACTAGCTTCAGATGAAGGAGGGGTGAAAATAATTCAAGATATGCTGATGACATCATGTTACTCACAGAAAGCAACAATGACTTGAAATGTATTGATGAAAGGAAAAGAAGAACGTGCAAAATCAGGATTGCAGTTGAACTGCAATTACAATTGCAATTACAATTACAGAAGAACTCTAACATTAATTTTGACAATGAAGAAATTAGAACTGTCAAACATTTTGCATACCTCTGGAAGAAAAAAGAATCAAACTCAGACGGTCACACTTTGGGCACATTATGACAAGGCAAAAAACAGTAATGCCAGGAAAAGTTGAGGACAGCGGGTAAAAAAGGAAGAGATGGATTACCTCCACAAAATAAGCCACAGACTTGAGTTTATAAGAGCTGAGTTGGGCTGTTGAGAACATTTTGCAGATCACTCATTCATAAGGTTGCCATGAGTCAGAGGCAACTTTTGACAACAAACAGGTGATTTCTATTACCCCTCAGTAATGCAGACGGTCTACCTTTTTCTCCTTAACAGATTTATTCCTGAAAGAAATGAGACTCAAAAACATAGTAGGAAAATAGAGGAGGGTTACAAATGGAAGAAGGTAAGAAAGATTTCAGTGGGAGGGAAACTGACCAGGCCATCAAACAGAGTGAGGTAGGTCTGGCTAGGACGGGAAGGGAAACATGAGAGGGCCACAAATAACCACAGGTGGACCTCCTATAAAACCGTGTGAGTGAGGCAGTGAAACCGATCAGTAAACATGTAGTCTGGAGGTATCCAGTGTTTTCCCTTAACACAGCAGCAGCTTAACGGAACAAATGGGCATCTTTATAACCTAAAGATGAATATTTATTGCTGAAATCTAGTCCAGCATAGCAAGTCACAGCTAGAGAAAGTCCACTGATACAGGAGAATTTATGGAGGCGTTGGGTCCCCTCGTCCCCAGTTTTTCAACGGGCTTACTATACAGCTAGGACCTACTAAACGAAGGAGCAGGATTTCAGCCATTGTCACACCAGCTTTCGGGAAAGAATGTCCACTCTCTGGTGCCATCTGACAAAGGCAGCCTTTGCTCCTTTAGAAAAGCTCATGCATGACAGAACCTCTTTAAGGCACTTTAATTGCAATTTCCTTCTACAGTACTGTATTGATGTTTCTGAAGGAAGGAGGGAATCCCAAACAGAGCGTGTGAGAGCGCCAGCGCCAGCAAAAGCGAGCGGGCCAGAGCTTCTGTTCCTTTCATACCTTGCCTCCAGGAGGATTTCATGAGCTATAAATATCCGAGCAACACAGTCCTCCCCCTCCTCCTCCTCCTCCCCCCTTTCTGCCCGGTGCCCACGTTGTGCGCTCATGCTCGGGATATGTACACCAGCTGCCTGCTTCATCTGACGGCGCCAAACAACCCGCTCTGGCAAAGCGAGAGCACGAAAGGCCCACCCGCCCGGGGGGGGGGGGAGATCAGAAAATCTCCCCGATCCTGGCGAGGGTGCACGGCCGACGTTGGCCGCCCTCCCTCCCTCCCTCCCCAGGCTGCCCCGAGGATCTCGAAGGAAGCCCGCTCGGTGCCCGCAGGTGCTGAGCGGAGGAGTCCCGATCGGGGCGCGGGAGGGGGGGGAAGAGTTTCCTCCCGACGTCGCTCCCCAGAGGAGGGCCAAGCAGGGCGCCAGGCCCAAGTCGGTTTGGCGATCTCGCCGCCCTGAACCTCGGCCCAGAGAGCTGACGTCTCTCCGGCGGGGGGGGCGCATTCCGGGGTGACTCTTCAGTGCCCGCAGGTGCTGAGCGGAGGAGTCCCGATCGGGGCGCGGGAGGGGGGGGAAGAGTTTCCTCCCGACGTCGCTCCCCAGAGGAGGGCCAAGCAGGGCGCCAGGCCCAAGTCGGTTTGGCGATCTCGCCGCCCTGAACCTCGGCCCAGAGAGCTGACGTCTCTCCGGCGGGGGGGGCGCATTCCGGGGTGACTCTTCAAACTTTGTTCGCCCCCCCCCGGCCCTCTTTTTCCTCCGGGGCCACACAGGACGCACCCTGCCCGGGCTGCCCCGCTCCCTGCCTCCCCTGCCTACTCACGACAGTTTGGAAAGGATCCCGGCTCTCTCGCTCTCTCGCTCGCTCGCTCCCTCTTTCCTCCCCCCCACCTCCGCCCCGCGTCCAGGCGGCGGGCCCGCCCTCTGCCTTCACTCTTGTGCCAGGGCTTTCCTGTGCAGAAAGAAAGCGGGCAGCCCGGACGGGCCTTGCCGTTGCCGGCCCCTCTCGCACGTAAGGGAGAGAGCGAGGGGCCCCTTTCTTTCTATATCTTTCTGTTTTTACTACAGTACAGGTAAATTGCAGCCAGTCCACTTTGGAGGAAGGCAGTAGCGGGCACCATTTTAGTCCCCGCGCAGTGCCGTTAAAGGGCGCCCGTGCCACTTCGCGGGCTTGTTTATGGGTGGCCCGCGCCTTCGAGTCTGCAATAACAAGAGCCGACGCAGGACCCGAAGGCGCGAGCGGCGGGCCGTTCCAGATTTCTGTGGATCAAAGCGAAGCGGCTGTTTCTCGGGTCTCGCTCCACACCCCCCACCCATCCCCCATTCCGCGTTGCCTGGACGGAGCCCCACGGCTTAGATGGGGGTGGTGAACTCCAAGCTGGCAAGCGAAACCGATCCACGTGTATACTGTTCTGAGTAATTCTTTGCAACTCTTCTAAAAGCTCAATCGTTTCCTCCTCCTTTCAGCCTCTGGTTTTGGAACTGTTATCAATTTGTTTTGGATTTTCTGAACATGGTGTGTGTTTGCCCCACAAAGATGCAAGCCTTGCTAGTTTTCCTGCTTGGGCAAAGACCTCCTATGGCAAAGTGTTTTTTGCTTCTTTCCGTTTGCGGAAATGGTCTAGGGCAGTGATAGTGAACCTTTTTGAGCCAGAGTGGCCAACGTGTCAAACAAAACCAACTTCTTTATTTCAAAGTTCCAACACTGCAATTAAACCTGAATACTGAGGTTTTAGTTTAGAAAAAACTGCCCTTGCACTGCAAGGGTTAAATGCTTGTGTTTGCTTCTAGGGGAGGTATTAACAGAGAAATACACTACTTTGTTGTTGTTTAGTTGTTTAGTCGTGTCCGACTCTTCGTGACCCCATGGACCAGAGCATGTCAGGCCCTCCTGTCTTCCACTGCCTCCCAGAGTTGGGTCAAAGTCATGTTGGTAGCATCAGTGACACTGTCCAACCACCCCGTCCTCTGTTGTCCCCTTCTCCTCTTGCCTTCACACTTCACACAACATCAGAGTCTTTTCCAGGGAGTCTTCTCTGGAAGAAATACTTACCAGTCCTCCAATCCCCTGTTGGGCTAGACTGGTAATGGCCACCATTGCACCCCTATGCTGGACCATTGCAGGAGCAGAGGGGAGTGCCAAAATCCGGGATCAGATGATGTGTAAGTATTTTTTGATGGTGACTTATGGCTCACCTGCCCACAGAGAGGGCTCTGCGTGCCAGCTGTGGCACGTGCGCCATAGGTTCGCCATCACTGGTCTAGGGGCTTCAAATCCTCGTGTGTTATGGAACAATCCTTTTCTTGATAATGATGGTGAGACTGATCTGCTTGGCTCTTTGCTCTGTAGAGACTCTGCCATTTTGTCTCAGTTATTTGGCATTCGTTGTACCTAAGGCATATTATTTTGCCTTCTTTAAAGGACTCTTTCATGTGAGGCAAACATTCAAGTCAGTCCCAGTAGGTTGCAATGGAGAATGGACCTTACCAAGATTCAGGGTCAAACTGCACTTCAAAAAATTACTTTTCTGGAAAATTCTACCCTTTGAAAACCTCCTAGTTCTTTCAAAATCCTTCAAAAATATTTTTAAAAGCTAATTCTCCACAAGTTTTAATTCTCTGGATATTTTTTGGGGTAGGGGGAATGGGAAGATTTTGTACCTAACTGAAACCTAATTAAAAACTCTCTATTCCCAAATTCCCCTTGTGGTCATTTGGTCTGGACAGGTGCTAAGAAGTGATGCTCGGAAGAGGCTAGGCAATGAACTTCTGCCCATTTCTGATCTATTGGCTGATCTCCAAAGAATATCTTAAGCTCTTTTTTTAAAATATGAAAAACAATTGCCTGTTGGGCCTCCTACTCTAGAGTTGCTTTGTTTGTTTTCTTTGCACTTGAAGATGGGAAGCTATCATAATACTAATTTCCATCGTCTGTAATACAGTAGGAAAAAAGAAAAACAATGCCATGCAAAAGAGGCAAAAAAGGCATGGGAAGTCTTTTTGCTGTCGACATTGAGAGGAGAAGTGTGTTGTCTGGATGGTGAGAAAAATACCAGTGTCACCAATGCAAAGCAGATATCTATCACATAATGATCCTTTCAAGATACTGGGAAGATATTTCTCACACATGTGCAGATGTACACCAAACTGAGGATCTCTAGAATGCAATAACCCAAACAGTAGCTGGGCACTTTTTCATCAAAACAACAATGTACAGTATTTGTAGAATAATAGAGTTAGGAGGGTAGAAAATGGACGGTGGGTTATGTGAAAGTGATTGACGGTGATGGAGGATAATGAAATGTGATGGTTCGTGTGTTGTTTGATTCCATGAAAGAGAAAGGATGTAAGTAAAGGAGAAAGAGGGGAGGGAGTGCTTGCCCACTATAGCCTATCCTAGGTTAGCTTTTTAGTGTTTATTATTTAAAATGAGAAATAGTTATCTTATTTAACTGCAATGATCTTTGAATATGTTTCTTGATACTAATGCTTATGCAATATAAACTGATTTGTAATGAAACTCTATTTTTCTAATAAAAATTAATTACTGTATAAAAATCCTTACAAAGGATTGGTCTCTTGAACATCAGGGTCTGGCTAAATCCAGGGAGAGAGAGGGCCACAGACTATATCATTCAAGACTCCTACCTAACTGAGCTGTTGTGAGTTCTAAGGAATCACAAAGCCCATGTGCCTGTACTTGCAAAGCACTGAGCAAGTGCAAAGTGTTATTTTCAGGTCAGCACTTGCCCCAGTGCAAAGGTGGTAGATAAGTGCTGGTCAAACGCTCTAGCCAAATGCCCAGCGGACCCCCTAAAGGTCCTCTGGTCATTTGGCCAGAGAGTTAACCAGCACTTATCTACCACCTCAAACTCTCTGTAAAGTCTTTTTGCACCCCTGATGTCCAGAGAAAGGGGAATCATGGGCTAATTCTAAAACACGCTGTCGGTATTCCCTAGGGACAATCAGTTGCTTGGATGGCTCTACATCTATCCTGGAATTTTGGGTGAATTGATGGCACAAAAGCCCATTTTGGCCCCATAAAAAACTTATGGGTTTGTTCTGACTCAACACTTGCTGTTGGTCAGCCTATGATCTTAGGGCTGCCAAAGAAGGATCAAGTTCTTGTTGTCTTTTGAATCCATTTGCACCCTTCACCTGAAGGGTACTGGGCCACTGGCCTGCCCCATAACGCCGATTCACCGCTGCTGGCTCCTTCTGTAGCCACAGCTCCAGCCAGTACTGCTACCACTGGGCTTGTCTCTTGCACTGGGTTACAGCTGTTGGCTCCTTCGGCAGCAATTGCTCCCACTTCTGCAATGCTCATTCCTCTGCCTGCCATTCTGCCTAAGCAAAAACTAACAGCTCAGAGAACACTTCTCTGCCACCTTGCCTAAGCAAAGCTGACAGCTTCTACAGAACAGTTGTGGAAATTCTCCCTGTCACTGCCTATTCTGCCTTAACAAAATAACAACTTAGGGAAAAGCCACCTTATTCTGCATTCCTTGAATATGCAAAACTGTGATGCACCAGATCCCCTAAAAGGCCACTGGGCATTAGGCATTTCGACTGGCACTTATCTACCACCTTTGTACTGGGGGATGTCACAAGATGTCAGCAGTGCATAACGTAAGCCCTTTGAACAAGTCTGACCTGAAAAGAACACTTTGCACTTACTGTACATCCTCTCTGCTTCATGGAGTTGAACAACGCACAAACCATCACATTCCCTTCTCCTCCATCACCGTCGATCACTTTCACATAACCCATCGTCCATTTTCTACCCTCCTAACACCTCCCTTCTTTCTGGCTGTTAACCAATTAACTTTTTAGAGGTTGTACCACCTCTCTCCTTCCCTTATTCCCATGAGAGTCCAGGTTTTGTTTATCTCTTCTGCAACAAGCTTGGAATGTTGAGTCTTCCAGGGGCTTCTGAGTTTGGCATTCACGATATCTGGATCCTGGCTGTAACAGTAGTCAGGAAAACACTCCTGTGGCGCTTAGAAAAACACATTCCAAAGTCTCTCAAATCATCTCCACACAGAACCTAACTCCATTTTACATTTCTCTGACTACATATCTCATCATCATGACAACTTTCAAATTCTGAGACA